TATATAGAGTCATACAGCACAGAAACAGACCCTATAGTCCAACCAGTCTATGCCAACCATAATCGCATACTAAACTAGGCCCACCTGCCTGCACATGGCCCATATCCCTCCAAACATTTCTTATTCATGTACTTATCCAAATGTCTTTTCAACGTTGTACCTGCATGCGTCACTTCCTCTGGAAGTTTATTCTACAAACGATCCACTTGCTATGTAAAAATTTGCCCCTCGTGCCTTTTTGAAATCTCTCTCCTCTCACCTTAAAAACATGCCCCCTAGTCTTGCCATCCCCCACCCTAGGGAAAAAATACCTGCCATTCACTTTATCAATACCCCTCATGATCTAAAAATATTTTGTTCTTACTTTCCTCATTTCAGTCCGTAGAGCACCAAACTTGGGAGGGCTCAAGTTGACATTCAGCCTCCTAGTTGGCTGACCGATATATTGAAGACTCACGTTACTGTCCGACATTAGCTTCGGAAAAGGTCCTCAAGAAGGTTTTCTTATGATTTCATGAGACGTGGAATTTGTTGGCTAGGCCAGCATTTATTGCCCGTCCGCTAATCACCCTGGAAAAAGTGGTGGTGGTGTTTTCTTGATTCGCTGCAGTCCCTTGGGTTACAGAGACCCCTCCAAAATGCCACTCAGGAGGGAGTTCTGGGATTTTGACCCAATGACATTTAAGGAACAGTGTTATATTTCCAAGACAGGATGGTGTGCGGCTTGGAAGGCAACTTGTCCCAGTATCTGTGCTACATTTGTCATTCTGGCTGGCAGGTGTTGCCATTGAAGGTTCGGTGAGTTACAGCAGTGCGTCTTGGAGATGGTACGCATGTTGATGGTAAAGGGAGTGAATGTTGAAGGTGGTAGATGGGGTGCCAGTCAAACAGAATGCTTTATCCTGGATGGTGTTGAGCTTCTTGGGCATTGTCGGAGCTGCAGTCATCCAGGCAAGTAAGGAGCATTCCTTCACACTCGTGTCTTGTGCCTTGTAGATAGTGGACAAGCCTTTGGGAGTCAGGAGGTGAGTTACAGGTACAGAGGGCCTAGCCTTTGACCTGCTGTTGTAGCCAGTGTTTATACAATTGGTCCAGTTCAATTTCTGTTCTATAGTAACCCCCAAGATGTTGATAGTGAGAAATTCCATGACACTGATGCAATTGAATGCCGTGGAGCGTTTGCTAGATTCAGTCTTGCTCGAGATGGACATTGCCTGGTACTTGTGTCCCACAGATGTGACTTGTCAACTATGAGCCCAAGCTGAGATGTTGTCCAGTTCTTGCTGCACATGGACATGGAGTGCATCATTAGCTGGGGCAAATCATATCAATTGATCAATATCCTCCTGAAAGGCAAAATCCTCTAGGGATAAGAAAACATGGGCAGTCTGGATATGACAGTTCAGCATTGGGGAAGTGTACAGCAGACACAAGCCTGTCAAATATGTCTGTGTATGTGACCCAGTTACACTGTTGGAGGCTTATTTCAGTACGTGAACTGTGTGTTCTGCCTCTCCAAAGGAACCACACTGCACGTCAAAACCCAACCCTTTTAAAACAGAACAACAGACACTTAGGTGGTGGATAGTAATGCATTTTTTTTTTGCAAGCGTAGAAACAGAAAATAGGAGCAGGAGCAGGCCATTCGGCCCATTCTGCACCACCATTCAATATGATCAAGGCTGATCATCAAGCTCAGGATCCTAATCCCACCCTCCCCCTCCATCCCTTGATCCCTTCAACCACAAAAGCTATATCGAGCTTCTTAAAAACACATAATCATTTGGTCTCAATCACTTTCTGTGGCAGTGAATTCCACAGGCTCACACTCTCTGGGTGAAGAAATTTCTCCTCATCACAGGCCTGAATGGTTTACCCCTTAGCCTTTAAACTGTGACCCCTCATCCTCGACATCCCCACCTTTGGCTTCACCCTTTCTGGATCTAACCTGAATAGTCCTGTTAGAATTTTATAGGTTTCAATGAGGTTCCCCCTCATTATTCTAACCTCCAGGAATCAATTTGGTAAATCTTTGCTGCACTCCCCCCATAGGAAGAACACTCTTCCACAGATAAGGAGACCAAAACTGCACGCAATATTCTAAATGTGTCCTCACCAGCTCTTGTTGAACATTCCCCTCATTCAAATAATAATCTGCCTATTTCTGCCACCAAAGTGGATAACCTCACTTTTACCAACATCTGCCAAATTATTTGTCCACTTACGTAGTCTGTTCAAATACCACTGCTTCTTCTGTGCATCCTGTTCACAGTTCACTCTTCCACCCAGATCCTTGCATCTCCATCCTGAGGGGTTCATTTCACTAACAGCCCTGTGTTAATGTCTAATCTTTGAGCTGCTTCATCAGCACTTTACAGCAAGCCAGTATCTTCTACGTGGCTGGAGACAGTCAAGAGCCTGGTCTGAAATGGACTCTGAAATTACTCCATGGAAGCTGATTTCCTGCCACCAAGTCACCCTTTATTTACACGTTAACAGGCCCAATCAGGGATCTCATACTCAATGAGATCCACCTGGCCAACCTCGTACCAATCACTACAGACCCATAGCGCATATTCACAAATTTGTTGTGTGCTGTCTGATACAGCTGCTTCAATCAGTTCATCTGTATGATCCAGTCAATAGGTCAGCCATATCTAAATTGGTTTCTGAGCCACAAGGCTCTGGGATCAAATCCCACTCCAGGGCTTTAAGCAAAAATCAAGAGCGATGCTCAAGTGGATTGGTGAAGGTGTCACTTTCTCAAAGGAAGCGTTAAACCAAGGACCTGACTGCCTCCTGTAGTTATTATAAAGGATTCTTGGCACAATTTCAGAGAAGACGAGGGGTTTGTCCAGTGTGCCCTGGCAAATATGTACACCTCAGTCATTATCACAAAGTAAAATAGTCAGGTCGCTATCGTCTTGTTGTCTGTTGCATGCAATATTTGCTGCAGTGACTCTGGCATTACAGTGTTACTGTCTGTAAAGCACTTTGAGACTTAAAGCATGCGGTTCAAGAAGGCAGCTCACCGCCACCTCCCAAGGGGCAACTAGGGATAGGCAATAAATGCTGGCCCAGCTAGTGACACCCACATCCGGCGAGTGAATATTGGAAAAATAAAGAGACATCCAGTGGCCATGAGAAGCTCTACATAAACGAAAACCAAAAGAACTGCGGATGCTGTAAATCAGGAACAAAAACAAAGTTGCTGGAAAAGCTCAGCAGGTCTGGCAGCATCTGTGGAGGAGAAAACAGAGTTAACGTTTCGGGTCAGAACTGAGGAAGGGTCACCGGACCCGAAACGTTAACTCTGTTTTCTCCTCCACAGATGCTGCCAGACCTGTTGAGCTTTTCCAGCAACTTTGTTTTTGCTCTATATAAACGAAAGTCGTTCTTAATACATGTTTATGAATTGACTATAGTGAAAACAAAGAGGAAAATAACAGCTTGTGTTTCCTGAAAGCTGAAAGAACTGCGAATGCTGTAAATCAGAAACAAAAACAGAAATTGATTGAAAAGCTCAGCAGGTTTGGGAGCATCTGCGGAGAGAAGTCAGAGTTAACGTTTCAGGTTCAGTGGCCCTTCCTCAGAGTTTGTGTTTTCCAATTGGCCTTAAAGAACCAAGATTGAGTTGTGTTTTAACAAGGCAAACAGCAAACAATAATTTCTGTATTCCCACCTGACTGTCTCTGGGTAATCAGTTAGTCAATGTGACAGAAACCCAGAGGGGTGCTAATGTGTGTACTTAACCTTCTAACTGTAAGGTTGTATTTTTATGGGGGAAATAGCTGGAAAGTATCCCAAAACAGAACTTCAGAAGAGTTTAATAACCTCACAGAGAGTGAATGGAAGCTGACGACAGTGAAAATCAATCCTGAACTGTTCCAATCAGTGACGAATGTGTCAAAGATTGTTTAAAACTGAGAGAGGTAGGGGAAGGAAGCAGGGGAAATCCTTAACAAAATGTTACATTCATCACATGTAAAGTCATCTTATTTTGCCAGTAAAGGGCAAAGCACAGACTAAATATTTTATTTATTGGAGCAGGCCTGTAAAACTTTTTAAAGCAGAATTATAGTTATTTTACTGAGAGCAGCAGTTTTCATTGACTGAGGCTAAAGCATGCTGTTAATGTGACAGCTGAAGTCTATCCTGCTTTGGGATGAATATGAAGGTGTATGGGTGTGAATGAGATTTACAACACAGGGTTTACCAATGACCCTGAATAAATTGCTGCACCTAAATGCAGCCTGTAAATCATTGTAAACACCGAGTTCATATTCACCAAATGCTCGCAGCAACCTGGAAACACCCTCAATACCTACGGAGCTAAATGGGGTCTCTGGGTCGAGAGTGATAGAGTCGGTGTGTATGCAGTGAGCGGGTGGGTGCATATGCAGTGAGGGGAGGGGGTGCACACACAGTGAGGGGGTGGGTGCATACGCAGTGAGGGGAGGGGGCACATATGCAGTGAGGGGGGGGCGCAGACGCAGTGAGAGGGTGGGCATATACGCAGTGAGAGGAGGGGGCACATACACCGTGAGGGGAGGGGGCACATACACAGTGAGGGGAGGGGGTGCATACACAGTGAGGGGAGGGGGGGAATACGCACTGAGGGGAGGAGTGGGTGCATACACACTGAGGGGAGGGGGTATTTAGGGAGTATGGGTGTTGGTACATAACAAATAAGGGTTGGGTGTGTCTGGAGTGAGCAGCTAGACATATACTGCGAGATGAGGTTGGTGTGAACAGAATGTTGAGGTCCATGTGAATGGAATCCTTAAGGTGGGGGCTCTTTGTTTGGACTTGTCTGTTTCTGTCCCTTTCCAGAGCCACTACTGACTTGCTGTCATTTTGCCACCACGATGCTATTGTCAGACTTGTGTTAACCAGAGTTTTTGATTCCATGTTTACTGTAGATGCTGCCAGGTAATTACCGATGCAACTTGCAGTCTGTGCGGCTGAAATGTAACAATGTCCTTTTCTTTGTTTTGCAGACGTTTGGAACAAAATTTGATCAAGACCGTGGGAGCCGGTGCATTTAGCCAGTACAAGAAGCTCAAACGCTTGTAAGTAAATCAGGTGTTTCGTGAAAATCAGGTCAAATCCAATGACTCGGTAACTCTGCTACTGATGGCGTCACATTACTAACATCAATCTTTAGCCTTTCAGGTATTATTTTTCCTTTATTCATTCACGAGATGAGGGCGTCGCTGGCTAAGCAGCATTTATTGCCCATCCCTAATTGCCCAGAGGGCAGTTAAGAGTCAACCACATGGCAGGGTGGGTCTGGAGTCACATGTAGGCCAGACCAGGTAAGGATGGCAGTTTCCTTCCCTAAAGGACATTAGTGAACCAGATGGGTTTTTCCTGATAATCGACAATGGATTCACAGTCATCATCAGACTCTTAATTCCAGATATTCATTGAATTCAAATTCCACCATCTGCTGTGGCAGGATTCGAACCCGGGTCCCCAGAACATTATCTGGGTCTCTGGATTAACAGTCCAGCGATAATACCACGAGGTCTTCGCCTCACCAATGTATCCGTCACTACAGAGTGTGATGTCACTTTGCTGATGTTTGAGAGTGGACTGGTGGTGGGAATTGACTGGGTTGGATTAGTTCTGCTTTTCAACTATCAAGTGAGAATAAAAATGTTGGGCCGCACCCATGATGATTGGCTCTAAAAAAAAATGTTGGCTCCTTTATTCACTCACAGGATGAGGGCATCACTAGCTAGCCCAACGTTTATTGCCCAGAGGGTAGTCCAGAGTCAACCATGTTGCTGTGGGTCTGGAGTCACACGCAGGCCAGACCAAGTAAAGACAGCAGTTTCCTTCCCTAAAGAACATTAGTGAACCCAATGGGTCTTTCCCCAATAATGGTCGTCATTAGACTCTTAATTCCAGATTTTTTTTTCCGTTGAAATCAAATTCCACCATCTGCCATGGCGGGATTTCAATCCAGGCCCCAGAAGGATTATCTGGGTCTCTGGATTAACCGTCCAGCGATAATACCACCAGGCCATCGCCTCCCCTGTTGTTTATAAAATATTAAAAATGAACAACAAAAGAATCTGTTAACTGTTCGTGAATTGATGGACAATTTTCAACATTGTCAGGTGAATGCCAGTGTTGTAGCTGTTCAGGAACAGTATGTGTAGGGGTCCAGCCACTTCTGGAGCACTGTTCTGTTGCCAGAATGTCCTTCAGGGCACATAACCTTTGTAGCTTTGAGGGCTTTCAGCTATTTCTTGATATCCCACAGAGTGAATCGAATTGGCTCAAGGCTGGCACTTGTGACGTTAGGATGTTAGGAGGAGGCCAGGGTGAATCAGTATTTCTGGCTGAAGATAATCACAAATGCTTCAGGTTTTTGCACTGATGTGTGCTGGCCTTCCCCCGTCATTGAGGATGGCGATATTTATGGAGCCTCCTCGTCCAATGAGTTAGAATCATAGCATCCCTACAGTATAGGAGCAGGTTATTTGGCCCATCGCGTCCACACCATCTCTGAAGATCGTCCCACCCAGACCCACAGCCCCCTCCCCACCCCATCCTTGTAACCCTGCACGTGCCATGGCTAACCCCGTTGCACATCCCTGGACACGATGGGCAATTTGGCATGGCCAGCCCACATCTTTAGAATAACATTCATCACATTTAGGAGTATCTAAATAGGCTAAGTACCTCATGTTCCTCATGACACAAGCAAAATAAGGTTGACCATCACCAGAAGCCAACAGAATAAAGAGCAGTATGGGTCACTGCTGTGAGAATAGTTACCACTGCTCTTGCTGCGGGCTTGTCACAAATGGTGATCAAATTGAAAGAAATATTAACAAAACACTCCTGTTTACAATCACAAGAAATAGTTGTGAAGGGCATTTAGCTCACCCAGCCAGCCAGCACCCTAGATGCTCCCAGAAATTATTCCAAAGATTTCTACCACTACTAACTTGCTCGTTGACTCGTGAGTTGTTTAATTGTCCATCACCATTCACAGCTGGATGTAGCAGGACTGCAGAGCCTTAGATCTGATGTGTTGGTTGTGGGATTGCTTAGCCCTATCTACTGCACGCTGCTTCCACTGGTTAGCTTGCAGGTATTTCTGTGTGGTCACTTCACCAACTGAGCTGTACACTCTGACTTTCCCACCTGCCTTGCACAGCTCTTCATAGAACAACGTACCTTGTAGCTCAGCAAATTTCCAGCAATCCAAAATGTCAACGAATAGATTGAGAAGGACGAGCGTGAGGCGCTGGGAAGAGTGTATAATTGAGTAGCTGTGAAATGGTGAATTTATTCTGATAATGCTTTCTTTATAATAACTCTCCCATGGCTTCAGCAGCAGTAATGATCACATCTTTCACACTCATGGACAATTTTGTAATTAATTTTCTACTTAACGTATCTGATAAAAAAGCAAGAATATTAATGAGGGACTTCAGTATAATTAAGCAGCTGGCACTCTGCTCCCAATGATCACACAGCCATAGCATCTTCCCAACATTTTATCGCCCTCTCACACCCCTATCCCAGAGTCACCCTCTACAATTGTTGTCCACCTAAGCCTTTTCTACCATTCGTATCTCAGCTTTATGTCCTTGCAGGAGCCATTCAGACTCAGAGAGGAGATTGCCCAAGACAGCTCTCTGATGAGAGGCAGAGGCACCTTAATAACCACTGGCACTGTGTGCCCAACTGGCCCACAGTGCAGTTGGTCCTGTTGCAAAGTCACACAGTGCAGAAACAGACTCTTCAGTCCAACTTGTCCATGCCGACTAGATATCCTAAATTAATCTAGTCCCATTTGCCAGCATTTGGCCCATATCCCTCTAAACCCTTCCTATTTGTGTACCCATCCAGATACCTTTTAAATGTTGTAATTGTACCCACCTCCTCTGGCAGCTCATTCCACACACACCACCCTCTCCGTAGAAAATGTTGCCCCTTACGCCCCTTTTAAATCTTTCCCCTCTCACCTTAAACCTATGCCCTTTAGATTTGGACTCCCCTACCCCTACCTTGTCTGGTCCCCCTATTCATGCCCCTCATGATTTTGTAAACCTCTATCAGGTTACCCCTAAGCCTCCGATGCTCCAGTGAATAAAGGTTGCAGATACCAGAAAGGATCTGCTGTGAAAACCTGAGCTTCCTGAGGTATCGCACCCAGACGTGTTGAGAAAGCTGGTCATTTGAGGAGCTCAGTTCCTAAAGATGGATCTCTGTGTCTATCCTGTCAAAACTGAATCTTTACACTTTTCTGTGTTTTTGATTGTGAACCAATAGGGTAAATGGCTGTTTTAGAACCCAAGTATTGTGGAAAGGATAGCTACATCTTCTTAAAAGCAGGTTACTGCTGCTCATTGTAAGTGATGTTTACACTGTAGTTTGTTTGAGCAGTTGGGGTGGTTTAGCGGCACATGAGCTCGAACCAGTGAATGTGTAAGAAATTAGATTTGGCTGGCAATAGTTAACTGATTGGTCTGTGGAATGGTGACCTGATATCAATGACACAGGCCTTCTGCCTGCCAATAACTATGCTACTGGCCGCCAGGTAGCTAAATAAATTGTGCGTGTGAATATTTGGTCAAAAGTCATTCGACCTCTTGAAAGGAAGGTGATATCCTTTTCTTTGCAGTTAAAACAAAATTTAAAGGCTGAATAAAATCACTTCGTTCCTCCTCATCAGTAATCATAAGCCAAGACCTTTAACCAATAATTCAGGGACTTTGTAAATCTATACCAGTCACACTGTGCCTCCTGCAGGCGAGTGGAAGTATCTGGAGAAGGAAGATCGAGGAGCAGCCAAGTCCTGAAAACCAGAAGGATCATCTCAGTAGAATGCTGAAGAGAGACACTATTGAACTGTATTATTAGTCTTTCCCTCCATCCATTATACCCATGTCTTCTTGTTGTCTGCCTTTGTGTGTGGGGTGAGTTTGATCTGGGGTTTAGAGTTTTAACTCAGAGTTATAGGTTGATGCTTCATAATTGATTAGCTGCAGATAGAATCAAACTATTTATAATAAATAGTGATCTTTGTTAAATACAGAACCCTGGTCCATGCTGTCTATCACCCTGTGTAGATTGGGGAATTCTACATGCATTTATAAACCCTTTAACATTTGTGATGACTCCGGGGATAGCAGGGATTGATTTCCAGTAAGCTATCCAGTGAAGTGTAGCCATCCTCTGTGCCCTGTGGAGTGGTAGGCAGCTGGTGCTTCCACTGGTCTTGTTGCTGCTCTTCCTGTTTGTCAGAGAACGCAGGCTCCAGCTGCATAAACCGCAACTGTGTGCCATAACGGAAGACTGGCAGCGGGGAATTGCACCTGGAAAGTGGGCAAGCTGCAGGCCTGCTGAGGGCTTCAAAGAACCCTGCCACCACAAGACAAGCACAGAGAGTGCTTGCTGAGAGTGGACAGATCGCTCGAAACCGGCCATAGCTTTAGCTTCTCAGGTTCATTGCTCAAAGTCTTCCCTGCCGGGAGTTGGGGGGAGGAGGGGCAGTGGTTGATTGACTGAAGAAGCTTGGAATGTAGTTTGCTCACCTCAGTGACCCTGGCAAATTCCATTCATCCCAGGGAATCGGTCCACTGGCAAATAAAATCTGCAACCTCAATTAAAACAAGGCTTAGCCACTTCTAGTCACAGAGTCATAGAGCTGTACAGCATGGAAACAGACACTTCGGTCCAAATCATCCATGCCTACCAGATATCCTAAATTAATCTATTCCCATTTGCCAGCATTTGGCCCATATCCCTCTAAACCTTTCCTATTCATATACCCATCCAGATGCCTTTTAAATGTTGTCATTGTACCAACCTCCACCACTTCCCCTGGCAACTCATTCCATACACGCACCACCCTCTGTCTGAAAAGTTGCCCCTTACGTCCTTCTTAAATCTTTCCCCTCTCACCTTTAACCTATGCCCTCTAGTTTTGGACTCCCCTACCCAGGGGAAAAGATCTTGGCTATTCACCCTCTCCATGCCCCTCATGATTTTATGAACTTCTATAGCTCAAACCCTCCAAACCTTGGCAGCATCCTTGTAAATCTTTTCTGATGGCACGCTTAGTAAGTTTGCAGATGACGCCAAACTTGGTGGTATAATGGACAGTGAAGAAGGTTACCTAAGGCTACAAAGAGATCTTGATCAGTTGGATCAATGGGCTGAGGAGTGGCAGGTGGAGTTTAATTTGGATAAATGTGAAGTGTTGCATTTTGGTAGTATAAACAAGGGCAGGACATACACAGTTAATGGTCAGGTCCTGCATACTGTTGTAGAACAGAGATACCTCGGAGTTCAGGTACATAATTTGTTGAAATTTGCCTCACAGGTAGACAGGCCAATTGAGAAGGTATTTAGCACGCTTGCCTACATTAATTAGAAGTTGGGACATCATGTTGAGTTTGTACAGGATGTTGGTAAGGCCTCTCCTGGAGTACTGTGTGCTGTTCTGGTCGCCTTTTTATAGGAAGGATATTATTATGATTTACCAGGACGTTGCCAGGAATGGAGGGTTTGAGATATCAAAATAGACTGGAAAGACTAGGACATTTTTCACTGGAGTGTACGAGGTTGTGGGGTTACTTTGTTGATGTTCATAACATCATGAGGAGCAAAGATAAGGTGAATGAGAAGGGTTTTTCTCTAGGGTGGGGGAGTTCAAAACGAGTGGCCATTTTTTAAGGTGAGAGGAAAAAGATTTGAAAAGGACATAAGGGGCAACTTTTTTGTACAAGGTGTGGTTCGTGTTTAGAATAAACTTCCAGAGGAAGTGGTGGATGCAAGTACAGTTGCAATGTTTCAAAGACATTTGGATAAGTACATGAATAGGAAAGGTTTGGAGGGATATGGACCAAATGCAGGCAGGTGGGATTAGTTTAGTTCGGGAACATGGTTGGCATGGACTGGTTAGACCGAAGGGTCTGTTTCCGTGCTGTGTGACTCTCTATTATTTAATCATTTCATTCTTAAAGGAATGCACTCGTGAAATTCCTTTGCTTTATAATAAATGGAAACTGGCTTTTGTTTAAAAACGCCATCAACTGTGGTAAAGCAGCACACTGGTGAGTTTCAAGTGAACCGTTCAGATGGTAATATCTCACAGAAAAAGTTCGAGGCCACCGTAGTCTTTAGAATTGCCCTGATTCTGAATAAACGTACGCAACTGACATACTTGACATGGTAATTTATACCTGAAGTATGAAGGTATAAAAGACAGGTTTGAAAAGAGGCTCTGATCACACTGTCAGTAATTGGCATCAATTGTTCAACATTTCATTCAGAATGTCAATGAACAGTTGAGAAGGAGGAGTTTGGGGCACTGGGAAGAGAATATAATCAAGCAGTTGTGAAATGCTGGATTTATTCTGCTAATGCTTCCTTTATAATAACACTCCCATGGCTTCAGCAGGCACTAATGATCACATCTTTGACACCCTTGGAGTAATTTCTTAATTAAGTGTCTACTTAATATATTTGAGAAAATAGCAATAATATTAATTAGGGTCCTATATATAATTAACCAACTGGCATGTTGCTCCCAGTGGGCACACAGCCACAGCATCTGACTGATTTCAATGATATTCTTATCATAAGCATCAAAAGCTGAGGGGTGTCCTTATAGAAGTTTATAAAATCATGAGTGGCAATGATAGGGTGAATAACTAAGGTCTTTTCCCCCAGTGAATGGGAGTCCAAAACTAGAGGGTATAGATTTAAGATGAGAGGGGAAAGATATAAAAGGGACCTAAGGGGCAACTTGTTCAGGCAGAGGGTCGTGCATGTGTGGAATGAGCTGCCAGAGGAAGTGGTGGAGGCTGGTACAATCACAACACTTAGAAGGCATTTGGATGGGTACATGAATAGGAAGGGTTCAGAGGAATATGGGCCAAATGCTGGCAAATGGAACTAGATTAATTTAGCAAATCTGGATAGCATGGATGAGTCAGACCGAATGGTCTGTTTCTGTGGTGTACGTCTCTATGACTCTGACTGTGCCCAGTCTTTTCCTTGATTGTACCTTAGATCTGACCAAGGATGGCAGATTATTGGTGGCAGGAAACCCTCCAGCTCTCCTGGCTTGCAGAGTGCCCAGTGTGATGATTTGGCAGAATGGGCATCACTACACTGTTTACTTTGTATCCCATAATGAATGTCTACAGGGTTTTATAGTGGGTGGGTGATTCTCCACCAGCTTACGATCATACAATGGAGATTTTTTTTGGGTTAATTTTTAATTTCCTCCTCTCCTGAAGACCTTGGAGTAGATTTTGACTTGGTGCACGATCAAAAATGGGTCCAAGCGAATGAGAATAGAAATGGGATGTACAGACTGGACTGCTGACTCACTGTACTACTGTGAGCCAGTGGCAGGGATACAGATCAACGAGCTGTTTTATCTTGAAAGATGTCAAGGTCCTGGAGCATTGCTGGAAATGTGCTCATCCTGTCAAATGCGAGTCCATCACAGCTCCTGACCTGCAGTGTTAATGGTTAAGAGGGTTAGGAGAGTCATGGGTTGAGTCATTCAGCACAAAATTCCCAGCCTCAGACCTGGTCTTGTAGCCAATGTATTTAGTTGACTGGCCCAGTTACGTATTTGGTCAGTGGAGACCCCTAGATGTTAACACTGCATGTTTAAGCAATGTTAATGTTCGTTGAAAGTAAAGAATAAGTGATTAGACTTTCTTTTGTTGGAAGTTGCCATTTCCTGACCCATCCGTGGCACAAATATTTCCTAGCGTTTATAAAACCAAGCCTGAATAACTACAGGCCTTGCTGTATTAGATCACTTGTTATTTCCAAGGGGTCCCGAGTGATGCTGAACATCATGCAATCATCGGAGAACATCCCCTACTTCTGACCTTAGGATGGAAGGAAGGCCATTAATGTTAGTTCAAGATGGTTGACCCCAAACCTGCCCTAAAGAATCTCTGCATTGATGTCCTAGAACTGAGATGATCGGTGTTCAACAATTAAAAACCATTGTTCCTTGTGCTGAACATGACTCCCAGGCAGCAGAAAGCCCTCTCTGTAACTCATTATCAACCCCATCTCTACCACAACACCTCAATCCTGCACTTGGTCAAAGGCTGCTTTGATGCCAATGACGGTCATTCTCAATTCAATCCTGAAGTGTAGCTCTTTCATCCATGTTTGGACCAAGATCATAATGAGGTTTGATGCTAAGTGCTGCTGAAAGAATCCAAACTGAACACTGGTGAATAGGTTGGTGACTAAGTGTTTGATAATGCTGTCCATGACCCTCTCGGTTGATCGCAGGAAGGCACTATACCTTTAACAGAGCCAAATGTCCTCTGGCATTTGATGCTGTAGTGGAAGAGCTACCCAACTTACTCTGTGCTCATTCAGACAGCATTAAACAGGCAGTTATCCCATCACTCCATTAGTCAGTCTATATATTACAACAGTAATCTAAGTAAGCAGAAAGCCAGACTGTAAATGTAAGTCAGCAATGTCATGGTACTGTGCAGTTAGTTGCTAATAAACTTCCAGATATGTGACTTAATCAGAACCTACCTTTCAGTGATCTATGTCCTATGGGTTGACATGTGAAAAACCATAACCATTTCACCATCCATTGGGGCGCGCACGGTGGCTCAGTGGTTAGCACTGCTGCCTCACAGCACCGGATTCCACCACCGGATTCGTCCCCCACCCTGGACATCTGCACGTGTTTTCTCCCACGGTCTAAAGATGAACAGGTTGGGTAGATTGGCCATACTAAATTGCCTGTATTCCCCGGTGATGTACAGGCTAGGTGTGTTAGCCACGGGAAATGCAGTGTTATGGGGTTAGGGTAGATCTGCATGGGATGCTCTTCAGAGAGTCAGATGGACTTGATGGGCCCAATGGCCTGCTTCCACACTGCAGAGATTCTATGATTCATTGCTTTACTGAGGGCCAAAAGGAGATTGGTGAAATGGTAATTGGCCAGATCAGATTTGCCATGCACATTATGATTAAGATATAGCTGGACAATCGCCTGGTCATCCCCACTGACCTGAAATTTAATTGGACCAGCTACAACTGAGTGAGGTATTGGGGCATTTCAGAGGGCAATTAAGAACTGAGTGATATGTTGGTGCCACATGTCGCCTAAAGGCATGGATTCCCTTCCTAATGGACATCAATCAGTCACATTTATAAAAACAATGCTGGCTACTACACGGTCATTTTTATTGATAAATTGAATTTAAGATCTCCATGCAAGATGGGATTTGAACTCATATTTTCAAGATTAATAATGGGTGTACATTCTTTATTCATTTGTTTTTGTTCCTTTCTTAAGTTCCAATCTCTCCACTAATCTTTTTAAATGTAATTGCTTAAGGAGATGGACCATGAGACTTGATATTCATGAAGCCCCTACATGTTGGATGATTGATTTGCATTTTAGCGTGAAATGAGTACAACTTGAATGGTGAGGAAAGATGGATTCAGTAGCAGTCATCAGGAGATGCTGTGCATGGGCCATTTTCAAGCCATGTCTTCTTTTCAAACAATTAATAATCTCTTCTTCTTATCCTTTTTTTCTTCCCTACAGAGACTTGAGTAAGAATCAAATTTCAGAGATTGCAGCAGATGCATTCCAAGGACTGCGATCACTTACCTCACTGTAAGTCTCAAGTATCATTGGGAGATTCTTCATTTTTGTTCTGGTTGTAACGTATACAGGGGCGGATTTTCTTTCTTGTCACTAAAATTCAAACCAAAGAGCTGATGGCATCTGAACTAATCTGCTTTGTGTTCTGTATTTCTTTCTCTCTCTCTTTTGTTCCCTTTTTTCTGTTCCTCTGTTACCTCGGGATGTAATTATTCTAATATTGACCTCCTCCAAATCTTGTGTCCTTCCTTGCACCAAGTCCTGTTCACTCATCATTCCCTGTGCTCATGAGGTTGTGTTGGCTCCTGTTTAAGCAACATCTCAATTTTGACACTTTCGTTTTTGCTTTCAACTTCCTCCACGAATTTGCCCTTTGTTTTCTCCATAGTCCAGTGCTATGGATCCCAAAATATCTGCACTCCTCCAATCCTAGCCTCTTGAGCCTCCCTCCCTGATTCTGATTGTTTACTGCATTTCATGCACTAGAGGACTGGAGTATAAAGACGCATAAGTTACACTGCAGTTATACAAAAGTTAGACCCTACTTGGAGTACTGTGAGCAAATATGGGCACCACACCTCAGGAAGGATGGATTATCCTTGGAGAGAATAACAAAGTGGGCTTACAAAAATGATACCTGGATTTCGGGGGGTTAAGTAATGAGGAGAGCGTACATAAATTAGACTTGTTTTCTCCAGAATTTAGAAGGTTAAGGGGTGATATGATCAGAATCTTCAAGATATTGACCAAGTAGATAAAGATAAACTATTTCTACTGGTTGGGAATTCTAGATCCAGGAATTAAGCCCATACCATTCAGGAGAGATGTTAGGAAGCACTTCTACAGAGAGGGGTAGAACTTTGGAAATCTTTTCCACAAATGGCATTGGATGCTGAATCAGTTTATTCTAAATCTGAGATTGATAAATTTTTGCAAAGCAAATGTGTTAAGGAACATGGGCCAAACGGAGTTAGGTCACAGATCAGCCATGATCTCGGAGAATAGCAGAACAGGCTCAAAGGGCTGAATGGCCCACTATTATTCCAATGTTCCACTTTTATCCTATGCCCTCCATCTCAGAAATAGCCCTTTAAACATTCTCCCAGAACCATGATGGGGGAGCTCACTGTTCTCACCTTGCACATCATCAGTCTTTGCATTCAATGAATCATCCTCCACCATTTCCAGCACTATACTACCACAGAACACATCCACCCTTCTCCTTTCAGCATTTCGAATGGACTGTCCTTTCCACAACACCCTGGTCCAGTCCTCAATCACCTCTCCCTTTCCTCAGGTACCCTTCCATGCAAGAGCAAGAAATTCATTGCCAGCTTTTCAACTACCACATGAGCCACTCCTCCGCCTCATCTACCCAGCTGCCTAACAACTCCTTCCAAGTTTCTTTGTACTTCTGTCAACTTATATTACTATAATGTTACTAGATTAACAAAAAATAACAATTTATGTGGTAGCAACATGAATTTAATGAAAGGCTCAAGGCATATTGCAGGAACATTATCAGTCTTGTTGCTTACATTATATATATTATTGATTAATTGATTGATTGATTTATTGTTGCCACATGTGCTGAGATACAGTGAAAAGTGTTGTTATGCTTGGTGTACAGGCACATCATACCATTCATAGTGCATCAGGGTAGCAGAACAGCGTGCAGAATACAGTGTTACAGCTGCAGAGAAGGTGCAGAGAGGGAGGGATTGGAATTAACATTTGAGAGGTTCCTTCAGAAGTCTGATAACGGCAGGGAAGAAGCTGATTTTCAATCTGTTTGTACATGTATTCAAACTTTTATATCTTCTGCCCAACAGAAGAGGGTGGAAGTGAGTATAACCGGGCTGAGAGAGGTCTTTGATTATGTTGGTTGCTTTCCGAGGTGGCGGGAAATATAGATGGAGTCAATGGATGGAAGGTTGGCTTGCTGTGTTCATGACTATCTGTAGTTTCTTGCAGCCTTGAGCAGAGCAGTTGCCAAACCAAGGTGTGATGCATCCGTATGTGAGAGACGAAGCACAGACTGGGTGACTGATTTGTAGAACACCTCCACTTAGTCTACAAGTCTGACCCCAGTTTGACCTCTCTGTCCTCATCCTGCTCAAATGAAGCTTGTTGCAAGCTTAAGGAACAGTATTTCACCTTTTGGACTCAGCACTTTACAGCCTGCCAGATTTAACATTACTCAAAAACTTTCGATTGTAACTTCTGCCCTCAGTTTATTTTTCTTTACTGGTTTGGTTTCTGGTCTCTCTTGTTTCCCTTGTTTCCTTTTTCACCTTTGGAAAGCTAATCAGGATCCAGCCAGTCATGCCTCCTGTAACATAACTTTTGTTTATTTACACAATCCATTGCTACTACCATCAACAGTAGAGTCCTTTGTCATTTCATTTCTCCTCCCCTAGCTCTGCTTTATCAAAGGCTTTCTAGTTCCCTCTTCCTCCCAATGCCCTTTCACTCACTCAAAACCTCTCACTGGGAAGGCAGGGTGGCTCAGTGGTTAGCACTGCTGCCTCATAGCACCAGGGGCCTGGGCTCAATTCCAGCCCCGGGTGACTGTCTGTGTGGAGTTTGCACATTCTCCCCGTGTCTGCGTGGGTTTCCTCTGGGTGCTCCGTTTTCCTCCCACAATCCAAAGATGTGCAATTTAGGTGGATTGGCCATGGGAAGTTGCCCACAGTGTCCAGGGATGTGTAGGTGAGGTGGATTAGCCATGGGAAATTACAGGGATACAATGGGTCTGGCTGAGGTGCTTCCACATTGTTCTAATGAAAGGTGACATTCCTGAAATGTCAACTCTTGTTCCTCTCTCTGCAGATGGTCCCTGATTGAGTATTTCTGGAGCGTTAAGCTTTTGTTAAGTTTCTAGCATTTGTGTTCTTCTCATGCTCTTAGTTGCTCGACCATTGGCAATAGTGCCTTTAATTGCATTGTCGCCAAACTCTTCTGTAAACCACCTTGCTGTTTTGGCCTGTCTTTCCTTGTGAGAGACCTCCTTAAAATCAAATACCTTTGACAAAATATTTGGTCATCTGTCCTAATATTACCTCATGTAGGTTTATAATGTTCCTGTGAAGAGCTTTGTTTTCTGATATGAAATGGACTATAAAAATAGAAGTGCTTTTAAAAACAATTTTGATTGCACACATTTTTGTGTCAAAACTGGGTGTATTCCATTGGATTATCGGTTTCAAGTAATACATAATACTGATGTTAAAAATTATAGGGACCACGACAACTAATATTAATCAAGTTTCCTCTCAATTCTAGTCTCCCAGACAGCACCCTGAGTTACTAACTGGGTCTTTTCGAAAAAGATGAGGGAATACTTTTAAAGTGTGACAAAGGTCTCACCCATAGATTGGAGATCTGGCCTTAAGTTGCTCATTTCAGTTGCTTGATTCTACAAGGAAAGAGTGACAGCATTTCCTTTAATATTAGCAGTTTACTGAGACTTCAAATGGTTAAGTTGCAGAAGCGCTGAGTTTGCATCTTACATAGCAAGATACTGGTTTCTAAATCAATGGATTAGCGAAAACAGTGTGAAATTCAAGTTTGAGGGGGAAAAAAAGTAATGTGCCAATGCCATCAAAGCTTTTTATGTGCATTATAGGGGGTGAATAATACTCTTATAGTACGCCTCCAGTATTTATTGCATTGAAAGGCCACTCAGGCAGAAAGTCTAGTGAACCCAATCAAATCAACTTTATGTATCGAACCAAAATCTGGCTTTGAAATTAAAGGTGAGGGTTAACTCTGCTCCATTGTGGTGCAAGTTATAATGTTTCGGTATCTGCCTGTCCCCTTTTGAGGACCGTTATCACACACCATTTTTTTCAATCCCCTTTCATTCATCATCACCAAGATTCTGTGTGGTATCAAATCCCTATACACCACCGCACTCCCATCCCCCCCACCTCATACACCTCTGCTAAATCCTCCTTTCTCTCTTTCAATCAAAATAGCAATATTGTGAACTAGTGGGGCCCTCCTGGATTGAAACCGAACTTCGACGGGTCTTTCAGCCGTTGGATTGATACAGGCATCACCTTGCACAATACAGCCACCTGCGTTATTAGAAGTTTGCCTCTCTTTCCAAAAATAATAGATTCTGCTCCTATGTTGCAGCTATCTGTGGAGATCTGCTTCACAATTTATACACTGAGCTGCCTGCTTTGTGATAACAGCTGCGAAGCAAGAAAAACCCTGTTGAGTTCCATAACCTGTGCACAGCTTCCAGATTCACGGATAGCCGATAAGATTACCAAGGAGTCAGCTTTCTACATTCTTTCAACGCCTGAATGTTTACATTCTCAGCCAACTGAGCAAAATATTGATCAACAGCAAGTGAACAGCTTGATAGTGCCTGGGACAGTAAAGGTCTGCAGAGTGGCGAGTACGGTAGATCAGAGTGTTCTATAGAATAGACAATAGAGGATATCCATGGAGGAAATCATACACCGTATAGTAGGGTTTCGGAGATCAAGCAGTGTAATAGTCAGGAGAGATCTTCTGAATGAAAAGCACATTGTACGAGAGAGTTGTATAGCATGAAGTGTAATTACAAACAAGAGCTCTACCCATTGCACAGTGGTGTTCAGTGGGAGGTACAGAAATGAACCAAACAATGACAGTGAGACGTGCTGAGTCTGTAGACCCTTGGTCTGGGATGTAGTGAGGCTCTAGAGCATTGGACTAGGTTATGTTAAGACTATAGACCTTTGGACTGGGATGTATTGAGACTGTAGAGCTTAGTTCGGAGTGTTTTGAGAGTGCAGAGCATTAGACTGGGATGTGGTGAGACTGTTGCTCATTGGCCTAGGACGTGGTAAAACTGTAGTGCATTGTCTGGGATCTGGCGAGACTCTAAAGCATTGACTGGGATGTGCTGAGACTGTAGAGCATTGTCTGTGATGTGGGGAGACTGTAGATCTTTGCACTGGGATGTGCTGAGACTGTAGATCTTTGGACTGGGATGTGCTGAGACTGTAGATCTTTGGACTGGGATGTGCTGAGACTGTAGATCTTTGCACTGGGATGTGCTGAGACTGTACATCTTTGCACTGGGATGTGCTGAGAATGTAGAACATTGCACTGGGATGTGCTGAGACTGTAAAGCATTGCACTGGGATGTGCTGAGACTGTAGATCTTTGCACTGGGATGTGCTGAGAATGTAGAGCATTGGACTGGAACATTATGCAACAGTAGAACATTGGATGAGAATGTGATGAAACTATAGAGTGCTGGACTCGATGTGTCCAGACTTACTGTGTTACTGAGAGATGTAAGGTCAGTTCAGAACCTTGCTGTGTAAGAGCTGATAAAGTGCCTTGTAGTAGCAGCCATACTCATAACAAACTTATACTTTAAACAGACATTGTGTTCAGCTCTTACTAGCATGGTATAGTCTTTTCAAACTTCTGACTGGTGAATCAGTGTTTGGTCTGTGATCCGCTGGCCAGCTTGTTTATGACTGAGTTGTAATGTTGGGACCTTCAATAGACAGATGTTGCTGGTATCCCTGTCTCTGATCTTGAAGCTATTAGTTCAAGTCCTCCCACACATGGCTGAGGATAGTGTGTTTGGATGGATTGAGTATCAGTATGCAAGTCTTCTCAACACAAACCAATAGCAGGTAATGAGAAGGGGAAAGGTTCATGGTCAGCCTGTAAAAACGTATGCTGCCCCAGCAACACTGAATGAACAGTGACACCCCTCAGTCTATCACACACATATTTTCACACAGCATATGGAATTAAAACTTTAACTAACGGTGAAAAATCTGAACTGACACAGTGTTGGCAGAGCTGCTGCTATCACTGCTGTTGCCCTTAAATGGAAAAACATAACCTGCCAAGCTACCCACTAATCATTTATGTTCTAATGGAGATAGCGTACAGGCTCCGCATGTCATAGAAAATTACGGCAAGAAAATTACTCTACAGGCCAATCAGCCTGACTGAAAAAACGACGTCTGTCAATCACGTGATCCCTCCAGACGCCAATTCACTTCACTCAGTTTCTTCAGTCTCCAGTCACTTGTAGCCTTTACGTTAAGTAGATAAATCCTGTCTGTCTACGCATCTCTCCATTCCCCAGTGGGGGCTTGTATACCTTAGATTCACAGTTTGTGGCAAACTATCCCCTCGAGTATCTTCAATAACATCCCTGATGCTTCTGTTCCTCAGTGTAAGCATCTGTAAGCTATGTTTATGGGACAGGTATACCAACAAGCCATCAAGTTGATGTTTTTTGCACACAGCTTTTACTGTCTTTGTTTCTCAGACTATAGCAATGCTGAAACAGAGCCTAATTAATATCCAATAAATAACTTTGTAACATGATAACTCCAAAACTGAGTTTGGAGTCATTTAATCCAGCTCACTGACCAGGAGTACTAATAATTATTTTTCCTTCTTTTATTACTTTAACTTTGCTTTTACTTATTATTGATCTATCCCACACTGGTGACACTGTGGCTTTTTGAATTTCGAAAACAATTTTCTTGCAATTATCCTGAGTCCAGCTTTGGAAATGGAAAGATAGTGGCTCCTGGTTAAACTTAAGATCTGCTTGATTGTAATGAACACTGAAGATGGGCATAGTTGTGATTTAGATTTCAGTGGGTCAGCATTTAATGAGCTCTTCCAACTCGAGCCAGGGACAACTTCCTTGCCTTGTAGCTGCAACTTGATCTACCAAGACATGACATGACCAGGACTAAAGGAATCATTGTGGCTCAGTGGTTAGCACTGCTGCCCTCATAGTGCCAGGTATTGTGACTGTCTGTGTGGAGTTTGCACATTCTCCCCATGTCTGCGTGGATTTCCTCCCACAGTCCGAAGATGTGCAGGGTAGGTGGATTGGCCATGCTACATTGCCCATACTGTTCAGGGATGTACAGTCTACGTGGGTTAGCCATGGGAAATGCAGGGTTACAGAGATAGGGTAGGGAATGCGTCTGGGTGTGCTGCTCTCAGATGCTTGGTGAGGACTTGATGGGCCGAATGGCCATTTTCTATGCTGTGGATATTCTACAAACTGTGTAATCCATAATTTTTGGTGCCTAGTCGGGAATGCTCACAGAGCTCTGTTCTGAGGTGAAGTCTTGATGCCTAACAAAGATGTTTTCTTCCTTGTGTTTTTTAGTGTCCTCTATGGAAACAAGATTACTGAACTCCCCAAGGGTCTGTTTGATGGGCTGATATCGATTCAGCTGCTGTGAGTAGCAATCCATTCATAAAATTAAAATGACCTATAGCAGTCAGTGTAATGTCAGGGTTTACTGAAAATAGCTGCATGTTCAAAATGATTTATTTAATCAAAAATGTTCTGCTCCTTTTAAAAGACAGCTAGTGAAGTTGTGGCTCCTGCATTTGGAACAAACAGTATTAGTTGAATCCATTTGAGTCATATGAAAGGAAGAAAATTTATTATGTTCTAGACTGAAGCTTCTTAAAGAGCATAAAATCAAAATGCATTATTGTCGAATAGTCTGATTGAAGATTTGCAAAGAAAACAAAGCATTTTTGGGTTTTTTTTATAACACACATCCTTTTAACTTAGCATTTGTCTCCCATGTACAAATCAAAAGTTGTGATTGAATAAGAATTTAGCATTTAGGCACTTCGAAGTGGAAGACAGTCTGACTGTTAAAAGGGGTGGCACCACTGATGGAATATTTCTCAAAATGAGACAAGGCTTGCGTGCTTGCAATCTCAGAGGACAAACTGCAGACTATCGTCAGATGTATATGAGAGCATGCGTCTCACCCTGAACATCCGCAAGATGAAGGTCCTTTACCAACCTGGCCCAGCATTGTGGAGCGAACTCCTGATCATCGAGAACCATAGGGAGGCCTTAGAGAACGTTGACCACTTCCATTACCTCGGGAGTGTACTGTCTGCCAAAATAGTTATCGATGAAAGAGATCCAGCACCTCCTCCCGTGTGCTAGCACAGCCTTCGGCTGCCTGAGGAAAAGGCTGCTGGAGGACAACAACATCAGATCCAACACCAAGCTCATGGTTGACAGAGCTGTGGTGGTTCCTGCCCTCCTATATGGCTCTGAGACGTGGACTGTCTACAGCAGACTCCTCAAGGTGCTGGAGCAGTACCACCAACGCTGCCTATGCGCAAGATCCTGCCAATCCGCTGGGAAGACAGACGAACCAACACCAGCGTCCTCCACCAGGCCAACATCCCCAGCACTGAGACACCGACCACCCTTGATGCTATGGGTTGGGTGCATCGTCCATGTGACCGACATGAGACTCCCCGAGCAGCTTTGAAATGGCAGGCGAGCCCCAGGTGGGCAGAGGAAGCGCTTCAATGATACCCTCAAGGCCTCACTGGGGAAGTGCGGCATTCCCACGGACACCTGGGAATCACTGGCCCAAGACAGTCCAAAGGGAAGGAGGAGCATCCAGGAAGATGTCAAGCACATTGCCGTCGGGAGAAAGCGGAAACCTGGTGAAAACAGTGTAAGGAGCGCGCTGTCACACCAACGCCCCACCCACCCCTTCCCACAACCACCTTCTGCCCCAAGTGTAACAGAGCTTGCAGTAGCCATATCTATCTGTACAGTCACATACAGACTCACCCTGAGAGCGGAACAGAGTCATCCTCATCTGTGAGGGACTGCCAAGGATGATGATGATTTCTCAAAGATGTTTTAGCAAACCAATTACAAAATGTTGGAATTTCTGAAGAAGGGTCTGGACCCGAAACTTTCCTGCTCCTCTGATGCTGCTTGGCCTGCTGTGTTCATCCAGCTCTACACCTTGTTATCTCAGATTCTCCAGCATCGGCAGTTCCTACTATCTCTGTAACAAAATGTTGGAGATGTATACAGCGCTGTTTGGTGACAGACCCACGAGCAGGTGGGACAATCCTTCCTGGGATGGAGAGAATTGGGACTTTGGAGGCCGTGTGCTGCATATTTTGATTCTTCATTAAGAGGCAATGTCAACAAAATGTCCTGAGCAGGGGTCATCCATAATCGTAGCTGGAGAGCTATGAGTGGTGCAAGATAGGGTAAAGACAGGAAGCTTTCCAGGTAAAATCTTGTTGAATTGTGAATGGTTAATATTGAATTGAATAAGAATTTATCACGCAGAAACAAACCCGCAGACCATATAGGTCTACGTTGAGGTTTATTCTTCATGTCAGCATCCACCCATGTAACTCTATTAGAACATTCTCCTATTCCTTTCTGAAGCAGAGACAATCCAAAGTTATGCAAGCAGTTGACATTCTAAATTGTGCATCAAAAACTCAGTGATCAGTGGCAAATTTTATTTAACCTGTGAAACTAATACTTCAACCAATGCAGCCGAATGCATTCAGGGCAAAGGCGGCTGGGAAAAGAATGGCTGGACAAGTGGTTTCCACAAAAAACTGAAATCCAGTGTTCTAGATCCAGCGAAGGTGTCTTTCTATAGAAGTTTCAACTGTTGTGTCAAATAGGCAGTTCTTGTTCTTTTCGTTCAATGTGGAAGAGGAGCAATGTAATCTACATTCCTCAAACTGTTGGTGGAATCTATAGTTTTGCAAAAGTGATGGCTGTCAGCTGTCGAATCTGTGAGGAAGACAATGCAATCCAGCATGAGGTGTTGTTGAATAGCATCAATCCCCTCCTCAATCAGGGGATCTTTCAGTCCTTGTTGAAGACCTCGTTAGTTTTTATTTGAGGAGGAGATATCATGTGAGGCTATTAGATGCGTTTTGAGCGAAACAAGTTTCAAACTTAACACCGTGATAGTTGGGAGGAGGAATGAATTTAAGACCATAAGACCGATGAGCAGAAATTAGGCCATTCGGCCCATCGAGTCTGCTCCGCCATTCAGTCATGGCTGATAAGTTCCTCAACCCCGTTCGCTTGCTTTCTTCCCGTAATCCTTGATCCCCTCGATAATCAAGAACCTATCTATCTCAGTCTGAAATGTACTCAATGACCTGGCCCCCACAGCCTTCTGTGGCAGTGAATTCCATAGATTCACCACTCTCTGGCTGAAGAAGTTTCTCCTTATCTCCGTTCTAAAAGGTCTTCTTCTTCTGTTGTAATCTCGTCCCACAAATTCTCACTTGGCACCCGGGTGAGTGAACTGCCTGAGGGACACAATTTGAATTTCATTCATAAACGTTTGCAAATCTGGTGGTGGATGGTTGACCACAATTTACTTTAAAGTAAAATTGCTGCATTTTGTGAGCCAACATTCCCATATGTCCCCAGCCTTCCTCCACCTCTGACAAATTCATCTCTTATTTTTTTTAATTTCAAAATTTTATTTTCCTTTCCAGCAGTGGAGAAGCCCAACACTTGAGAAACAGGAGCCTATTTGCACTGAGTCCTATTCCACTAGAATTTCTGCGCTCTGTGATCTGCATTGTCTCCAGGACAAGCAAGGTTTTGACTTTTAAAGTCTTATGCTTGCTTTCAAATCCCTGCATAGCCTCATCACTCCCTACTTTTTCTGGCCCCAATCCCATCCAGTTCTGGCCTGTTGCACATCCCCAATTTTACTCGCTCTACTGTTTTTGACAGAGCTTTTGGCTGGATTCTAAGCTCAAGAGTGCCCTTCCTACACCTCTCTGCCTTTCCCCATTGCTTCCTCCTCAAAGACATGATGTAAAAAACCTCTGTTTGCACAACCACCTGAGCTAATATCAAGCTTTGTGGCTCAGTGTTGTACTTTGCTAATAATTCTTCTGTGATTCTGTAGCTTGATATTACACTGAAGGCTCTGCATAGTGTATACTTGTACAGGTGATCAGGCAGCACAGGTCAAATACTGGTTGAGGGATAGTATCTGTGCAGGTAATCAGACTGTACAGGTTCGGCACTGATACCGCAAATAACTGTGCAGGTTACTTGAAGCCACAAGTACAGTGTAGTTTACATAAAGTCTGTGTACATGCGACTGGACAATCCAGGTCCAACACTAGTTGGCATGCTAGCCACTGCGCATGTGATTGGACAGCAGAGGTCTGATAACATATTAGATCTGATACTGACGCCAGTCTGGGGAACTCCACACTGAAATGAACAGAATCTAACTGGACCATTTCTCTTCACATTCTACAGATTGCTGAATGCCAACAAGATTAACTGTTTGCGTGTAAACACCTTCCAGGACTTGCAGAACCTCAATCTCCTTTCACTGTATGACAACAAGCTCCAGACCATCACAAAGGGACTGTTTACGCCACTCCGCTCCATTCAAACGCTGTATGTGTTCTCTTTTACTGGTAACTCCATTACTAATTTCAGAGACTTTGTTAAAGGAGGAGCTCAACTGAGTTCATTGTCTGTTATCTGCAAACGAACTTTCTGGTAATAATCTCTGTGAATTGTCACAGCCCTGACTCCAGCCCAATGGCTACGACTAGAAACAGGCAACGGTACAGTAGGCCATTCAGCCCCTTGAATTTCTTCTGCCATTCAATTAGATAATAGTTGGCTTGCAATTTTCCTCCATTTAATTAGGTTGGTACTCTTACCCCAAGTACCCGTGCTAATAAAAATCTTTCAATCTCAGCATGGAAGTTTTAAATTGAGTGCACCTCAGTTTTGGGAAGCACTCAGTCCCAATACATTTTGCCTTTGACTCTGGGAATGCTTGGCTAATCAACGCTTAAGGTGGCTGAGCAATGGTTTTTGAGTTAAGCTCACCAGCGTTGTGAATATCATCACAATCTTGTTCCTCAGACAGTTACAGTGGCTTTACTATACATTCATCATCTATTATACAATTAGCCCTTTCAAATCCTTAGTTCGCTTTCTTCCATTGGCTAAAAAGCTGAAGTCAAATGGAGACATGGTGGGTGGCATGATGGCTCACAGCTCCAGAGACTTGGGTTCAATTCCAGCCTCAGGTGACTGTCTGTGTGGAATTTGCACATTCTTGCTGTGTCTCTGTGGGTTTTCCCCATGGTCCAAAGATGTGAAGGTTGTAGGTGAATTGGCCATGCTAAATTGCCCTATAGTGTCCAGGGATGTGCAGGCTAGGTGGATTAGCCATGGGAAATACAGGGTTACAGGGAGAGGGTAAGAGGTGGGTCTGGGTGGGATGCTCTTTGGGGGTGGTTAGTGTGGACTCAATGGGCTGAGTGGCCTGCCTCTGCACTGTAGGGATTCTATGAGACTAACTTTTAGAATAGATTATCCTTCATAGAATAGAATACAAAATCGAACCAACTTTTAATTCAGAGCATCATTATGTAATAATCAGATTTTTCTATGATTTATTAAAATGAAAATAAGGTTTGATTAATCTGCAAATCAATTTTTAAGTATCTGATCATTCAAGAGTTTTATTTTTATTTATTACCTGCATACTTTTCTTTAACCTTTGATCTCAGTGCAACATACTTAAAACCTTTAATAAGTAGAAAATTCATTTTTATTTTTTAAGTGGCTCCAGCTGAGATAACTTGTCCTCGACAGGATGCAGTATTAATGACTGTACCTGTCTTTTCTGTTATTCCTTTACGGTATGCACATCTGGGCCCAGCAGTTTCTGTCCATCAATAATTTCCCAGAGAGCAATTAAGATTCAACTGCACTGCTGTAGTTCGGGAGTCATATGTGGGTCAGACTGGGTAAGGGCAGCAGATTTCCTCCTACATCAGATACTAATGAAGCAGATAGGTTTTTCTGACAATCAACAATGTTTACATGGCCATCATTAGACCAGGTTTTTTTTTCTTTACGATGTTAGCTCAGCTCCTGACAAACTCTGTCATCCCTCCCAGCTGATATGCTGAGTTACAGATAATGACTGTATTTCTCCTGATGGTCAGCCAGTTTCCTAACACTGCTTAAGAAACTTGAAAATTAACCAAAAAGAAGATAGAATAGCATCGTAGAGGTATACAGCACAGAAACACCCTTCGGTCCAACCCGTCCTAAACTAATCCAGTCCCATTTGCCAGCATTTGGCCCATATCCCTCTAAACCATTCCCATTCATGTACCCATCCAGATGCCTTTTAAATGTTGTAATTGTACCAGCCTCCACCACTTCCTCTGGCAGCACATTCCACACACGCACCACCCTCTACGTGAAAATGTTGCCCCTCGGGTCCCTTTTAAATCTTTCCCCTCTCACCTTAAACCTATGCCCTCTAGTTTTGGACTCCTCCACCCTAGGGAAAAGACCTTGACTTTTCATTGTATGTGCGCCCCTCATGATTGCATAAACCACCATGATGTCACCCCTCAGCCTGCGATGCTGCAGGGAGAATATACTTCCAAAGCTGATCTGCGATAGTGCAGCCTACTCTAAAACTTGCCTTGCAATGTGGTTGACAATTGAAAGCTAATATATGGAACTTTGCAATATCTTAATTCTTTGGTTTTGAAATTATTTCTCTCTCCCTTACAAAACTCAGCCACCTGGCCCAGAATCCTTTTGTGTGTGACTGCCATCTGAGGTGGTTGGCCGACTATCTCCACAACAACCCCATTGAAACTAGCGGTGCCCGCTGCACCAGCCCACGCCGACTGGCTAATAAACGCATCAACCAGATCAAGGCTAAAAAATTCCGATGCTCAGGTATGACCAATTCCGCGGTATGAGCGGTACATCCAATTGAATTGGGGGAGGAGGGGAGTGGTGGCTCTTGCTCAGAAAAATGTTTGAATTACCGGGTGACTGTGGACTGTGCGTTTGTCCCATCATACCAACAGCTTACAGTGATCAGCGAAACTTGCTGCAAGATAAGTTAAAAGCGACCTTTGCTCAGCTCACCTTTTCCATCGCATGACCTCACTTTCACTGAGATCATATATTTACGTGTTTCGAAAAAACATATTTATTAGAAAATATGGGCCGTCGAAATTAAATTTTACTGTCTGGGACGGCAGTAATTAGGAAACAGGACCATCTTTGTAAATTAAATCCTGAAAATGTTATTACATTAGAAAAAGGAAAGGCAGGATGGGTAGACACTGATAAATGAGGTTAACTGTTTTATTGTAAGAAACCAGTCTTAAAATGGCATCTTTGCTTTTTTCATCTTTATAATCAGTACGCTTTTGGTAAAGGAAACTGTATTAAAGAATGATGATTTATATGAAAACCTTCTGTTGATTCTCTGTTTTGACCACTGTTAGCAATTGCGTTGATTAAATAGTGAACGGTATTGATATCACGGAGAAATGAAATTAGCTGGAGCTCGTCAAACAACAGCAGGCAGATTAATCCCACTGTCCCTTACATAATGACAAAACAATAAAATGCCTTGAAACCTTCATGGGAACCAGTAATACTCTTAGTTTGGATGAATGTACCTGATCAGCTCACCCATTAAAGGATAATTCATGAGAGTGCTGTACTAGCTTTGGCTTGCTTATTGCCAGCTATATGACAAACTGGTTCTTAAAGGCCACCTTTCACAATGTTATGAACATCGAGAAAGCTTTACAGCCATTGACATACTTTCAAAGTGTGATCGCTGCTGGAAAGCTTTGAATGGAGCCCCAATTATACCCCAAGTTTTTTCGAAGTCCAAGTAATGCAAAGGCAGCAGACAATACAAAGTTAATTTCTCCACTGCTAATTAAAAAGGGGCTTTTTCTTCTTCTAGTAGTCCCTCAAATGAATGAGGACGTTTGTCAAAGAGAACAGCTCCTGTCATGAACTTGCACATTAGGCGGGTTGGCCATGCTAAATTGCCCATAGTGTCCAAGGATAGATTCATAGAGTCATACTGCTCAGAAACAGACCCTTTGGTCCAACCTGTCCATGATACAGTAGGGGGTTGGGTTCTGGGTCTGATGCTCTTGGAGGGTCGGTTTGGAATCGATGGGCCGAATGGCCTGATTCTACACTGTGGGGCTTCTGTGATTCTATAATTTTACAAGTGGTGTCTTTTAAAGTGAGGCTGCTTGATGTTGCAGCCAGCACACATGAAAAACAGGTTCAGAATCACAAAAACCATCTAACAGATTATCCTAGTGTGATATTTATAATCTGAGATAGAAAGCAAATCTCCTTAAGAGAACAATGGCCTTCTTTGGTGGGCTGGTCAGACCAATACTTACAAAGCAATCTATTTCTTCAAGGCTCAGCAACATCTTTGAAGTGACATTAGCACATTAGTCAAGATGCATCCTTCCTATGATTCAGAAGAACAGACCATCCTTCTAGAAAGTAAAGATAGACATTCTAAATTTTTCACAGCACTACAAAAGCAGACTGTTTTGATGATTGAGCGAGGCAAATTCCCAACCTGTTACAGTCATCATAGCCTCCTGCTCTATGCATTGAGTTGTCTATCCTGCTGCAAGCCCATTATCAGTTCATTCATAAGTGTGTTTATTCAAAAGATTTGTGGAGAAAATCTACACATTTAGTTGACTGAGATGCAGGAATAGAGTTCCACAAATAAACGATGGACCATTTGTAGATTTAATAGAAGTTCTTTTTAAAGTGCACTCTTGACAGTAACTGAACAGACTAAGTGAGTTAATATGTTTGTATGGCTGATTGGCAGCTTTTTGTGATGTTACTCTGCAGCAGAGTTTACTTCCAAAGGTAGTGTACACATAACCTGGGAAACTCTTTGTCGTCAATTTCCTCAAAGCAGCAAACAAATTCTGGTGAGATGCATCCTAGGTGCTAGAATGGGGTGCAGGAGAAGTAGCTAATGTAAATTATGTGCATTATATCAATCCCAGCGCCTTAATCGTTGTAATCTGTATGGATTTCCAGAAGGTGTTTGATGAGGTACCACACATTAGGCCAATTAATAAGTTCAGAGCCATAACATTGGAGGTCCTGTATTGGCACAGATAGAGAATTGGCTCACTAAAAGAAGACAAAGAGTTGAGATAAAGGGGACGTTTTCAGGAATGCAAACTGTAACTAGTGGAGTGCCACAAGGATCAGTGCTGGTGCCACAATTATTTGCAATAAAAGTTAATGACTTGGATGAGAAAAGTGAACGTATCATCGCCAAGTTTGCAGATGACACAAAACTAGGTGACAGAAGTGGTGAGGATAACACAAAGAGCTGGCAGAGTGATAGAGAGAGAATAAGTGAGAGGGCAAAGACTTGATAGATGAAGTATAATGTGGTAGCATGTGAGGTTATACACTTTGGCAAGAATAATCGGAGTGCTAAACATTATTTAAGTGCAGAAAGCTACAGTGCAGAGGGATTTTGGAGTCCACATATATAAATTACAAAAAGCTAGCATAAATGATCAACATGCAAGTGGGAAGGCAAATGGAATGTTGGCTTTTATTTCAAAGTGGTTGGAGTACACAAATAGGGACGTCTTGCTGAAACAATTGTTAGATCAAGCCTGGAATTCTGTGAACAGTTTTGGTCCCTTTAACTAAGGAAAGATACACTGGCGTTGAAGACAATCCAGAGAAGCTTCACTCAGCTAATCCCAGGGAAGACCCTGTTTTATGAGAAGGAGGTGAGTAGTTTGGGCCTGGACCCATAGGAGTTTAATAAATGGGGAATAAATGATGACCTTACTGAAGCATAGAGGATCCCTATGGGACTTAACAATGCAAATTGTAGGTAGACCCACAGTGCCCTTAGGGAGGGAATTCCAGGATTTTGACCCAGAGACAATGAAGAAATATTTCTAGGTCAGGATGGTGAGTGGCTTGGAGGGAAACTTGGAGGGGGTCGTGTTCCCATGTATCTGCTGCCCTTGTTTTTCTAGATGGAAGCGGTCGTGGGTTTGGAAAGTGCTGCCAAAGGTCCTTGAATTTCTGTAGTGCATCCTGTAGATAGTACACACTGGTGCGACTGAGCATCGGTGATGGAAGGAATGAATGCTTGTGGATGGGGTGCCGATCAAGCGGGACTGCCAGGTCCTGGATAGTGCCTAGTTTCTTGAGTGTTATTGGAGCTGCACTCATCCAGGCAAGTAGGGAGTATTCCATTACACTCCTGACTTGTGCCTTGTAGATGATGGACAGGCTTTGGGGAGTCAGAAGGTGGTCACTCAACTGCAGAATTCCTACCTCAGACCTTTGTAGCCACTATGTTTATGTGTCAAGTCCAGATGAATTTCTAGTCCATGGTAACCCCAAGGACGTTGGTAGTGGGCCTTCAGTGTTTGTAACACAATTGAATGTGGAGGGGTAGTGGTTAGATTGTCTTTAATTGGAAATGGACATTGCCCGGTGTTTATGTGGCGCAAATGTTATTTGCCGCTGGTCAGCCCAAGCCTGGATATTGTCCAGATCTTGCTGCATTTGAATATGGACTGCTTCTGTATCTGAGGAGTCACACTGGTGCTGAACATTGTGCAATCATCAATGGATGCTAATCCCCACTTCTGACCTTATGATGGAGGGAAAGTCATTGATGAAGCAGCTGAAGATGGTTGGGCCGAGGATACTACCCTGAGGAACTCCGACAGAGATGACCTAGAGTTGAAATGGCTGACCTCCAACAACACCAACCATCTTCCTATGTGTCAGGTATGACTGCTACCACTGGAGAGTTTGCCCCCTGATACCCATTGATTCCAGTTTTGCCAGGGCTCCTTGATGCCACACTCGGTCGAAAGTGACCTTGATATCAAGGGCTGTCACTCTCACCTCACCTCTGGAATTCAGCTCTTTTGCCCATGTTTGAACCAAGGCTGTAATGAGGTCAGGAGCTGAGTGGCCCTGGCGGAACCCAAACTGGGCGTCACTGAGCATGTTATTGCTGAGCAGGTGCTGTTTGATTGCACTGTTACTGACACCTTCCATCACTTTACTGATGATCGAGAGGAGACTGATGGGGCGGTAATTGGCCGGGTTGGATTTATCCTGCTTTTTGTGTACAGGACAGTGCAGTTTTCCACATTGTTGGGCAGATACCAGTGTTGTAACTGTACTGGAGCAGCTTGGCTAAGAGAGCGGCAAGTTCTGGAGCACAAGTCTTCAGTACTATTGTCAGAATGTTGTCAGGACCCATAGCATTTGCAGTATCCAGTGTCTCCAGCCACTTCTTGATATGAAGTGGAATGAATCAAATTCACTGGTATCTGTAATGTTAGGGACCACTTGAGGAGGCCAAGATGGATCGTCCACTCAACACTTCTGGCTGAAGATTGCTGCGAATGCTTCAGCCTTATCTTTTGCCCTGATGTGCTGGGCTCTTCCATCATTGACGATGGGGATGTTTGTGGACCCTCCTCCTCCAATGAGTTGTTTAATTGTCCCCCACGATTCACAACTGGATGTGGTAGGACTGCAGAGCTTAGATCTGATGCATTGGTGGTGGGATTGCTTAGGTCTGTCTATCACTTGCTGCTTTCGCTGTCTGGCATGCAAGTAGTCCTTCACCAGGTTGACACCTCATTTTTAGATATCCTTGTTGCTTATCCTGGCATGTCCTCCTGCCCTCTCCATTGAACCAGTGTTGATCCCCTGGCTTGATGGTAATGTTCGAGTGGGGGATATGCTGGGCCATGAGGTTACAGATTGTGCTGGAATACAATTTTGCTGCTGTTGATGGCCCAGAGCACCTAATGGATGCCCAGTCTTGAGTTGCTAGATCTGTTTAAAAGTCTGGCCCATTTACCACAGTTATA